TTATTTAATATATTATTACATGTTTTCAAAAATTAAACCACCAAACGCAGTTTCAGTTTTTTTTAAAACTGAAATCAATCTCTAAATAAAACTACCAAACGCATTTTTAGAAATAATTCAAAAATGAAACTAAAAACGTTTTCATTTTCATTTTCGTACAGAAAATAAAAATGTTTTGGAACCAATTCCAAATGCACCCGAAATGAAATAATGGATTTGGGGACTCACGTATTACACCCACCCACATCAGCTTTTTTTTTTCTTTTTCTAACTAACTAGCACCTGGAGATTAATACGGTCTCATTTCACATTCGTGTTTTTAATTTTAAATTTTTATAGTAAAATTTTTTTAAAAAATATTATATTTAATTTTTTTATTATAGTAAAAAATTTTAAAAAAATATTACATTTTAACTCAAATTAAAACTTTAAATTCACAAAATAAATGAGACTTATATTAACGTTTAATTTTTAAGAGGAGTGTTGCTTCCGGCAATCCAAAATTGGCTGATGAGTGGGAAAATCCTTGTGAACACTTGGATTAAAACATTAAACAACCATTTAGTTAACTGATTTGAGTTTTTAATTTGAGTTAAAATGTGACTTTTATATGTGAGAATTTTTTACTGTAGTAAAAAAGTCAAATGTGACTAATTTTTAGAATTTTTTACTGTAACAAAACTCAAATTTTAAACTCAAATCAGTGAAATGAACGAGACTTAAAGATTAAATTTTCATAAGGGCAAGCTAAGATGGATTTAAAATATTTGACAAATAACGTTGGCTCTAGTAATATTTAATGCAATTTAAAATGAGTAAAACGACCCCGTTCATTTCGTTGATTTGAGTTTAGAATTTGAGTTTTTTTACAGTAAAAAGCTCTTATAAATAATCACATTTAACTTTTTTGTTACAGTAAAAAACTCTTATATAAAATCACATATCAACTCGAATTAAAAACTCGAATCAACAAACTAAACGAACCTGTGTTGTTTTTAATAGAAGAGAAGTGCTTGATTTATAACCATTTTTGTCAGTTTCATTCATGTTTATGTTTATTTTCTGATAGTACCTAAATAACAACCATTCTCTGTGGCTCAATCTCTCTGAAAATGGCAAAAATGTTTTCTTCACTGAGCTGGGTAGTTTCTATTTACAAACTTGAGCAGAAGAACAAAATGGGAAGCTCTGCAGAGCGGTTAGGGTTTTGGTTTAGGAGCTTTCTTCTTCACCGTCCTTTTGATTTCCGTTCACGCCCTAATTCGCACAAATGAAATCGGAGAAGCAGAGTGTTAATTTGGACTTCTGAGAGGGGTTTTGGAGAATTATTGTGTGAGGGTGAGGTCTTTGCAAATTTTTTTTAAAAAAAAAAAAAGCTAAGAAAGAACTTTCTCAATGTCTATGATCAGTTGTGGTTTTTTCCCTTATAATTTCTGATCCCATTTTCTTTGCTTTGAATCCTTGGGCAACGTTGAATTTGTACAGCCCAAGTGCCTGTCTTTTCTGGGGTTGAAGAGAGTGGGTTTTGTTTATTTTGATGGAGATTTCCAAAAGGGTTGGTTGTTAAGTTCAGCTTGGAGATTACCCCTCCTCTTACTAATTTATGGACTATTGGAGAATGCTAAAGTTTGAGGTTTTCTCTGTTTGCCTTTGGAAGGTATGTGCCTAATCAGATGTTTTTTTTTTTTTTTTTTTTTTTTTTTTTTGCCCTCTTGCTGAAGCTTTAATCTCACCGAAGTATGTCCAGAGTCTAACTTCTCAAAATTGCTCTTAAAGTTGTTGATATTATTGTTTCAAGGTATATTCTGTTTCAAGGACGGAATTTTGGGGTTAGATGGAATTCACGGTATTTTGAACTTACTATCTGTTGGTGACTTTTGAAAATGCATGATGAAGCTGAACATGAATCAAATTTGGAAAGTGGCATATTCATCTTAACCACAAAGTGTATTGAACTTACCATCTGTTGGTGACCTTTTGTTTTGTTTTCATTCAGGTTGTTCTTGTTCTTGTTCTCCTTTTTTTTTTTTTTTTTTTCAGTGTTGTACATGTAATTGTTGGAGTGTCTGATTTGAACTCTCTTTTTCTTTCTGATTAATGAGGTGTCTGTATTACCCTGTATGATGTCCTTGAGTGGAAGTGTGTGTGTGTGTGTGTGTGTGTGTTTGCTTTCCTGTATGTTCATCTTAACCACAAGTGTATTTGCCGTTTGTTTATGTTGTAGTGGAACATACTTCTTGCAACTATGACAGTTATTTTATCTAGGGTCATATTGTGGACTGTGGAGTAAATTCCTTATCTGTTGGGTGGGAATGAAAAATTCCAATTCATGATCTGATATAAGACCAGGTGCTTTCTTGGGTTGCTTTTTACAGAGTTGGAAGGTATGTGCATGAGATGGTCAATAACGTGTGATGGAAAGTTGTGTTGTCAATTTGGAACGCTAGAATTTATGGATAGTTTAGAGGTTGGTTTTGTTGTTACCAATCCCTGTTAATGCTTGGAGTTTAAATCCATGCAAGTGGCATTCAATTCTGTTACATTTTTCTGTTTAACTGTTTGTATGCGTTTCTTTATTTACAGGCATAGTTAGTGGTAATCTTCTATTGATGAACTGTTTATGGTCTGTGAAGTGAGAAAGAAGGATTAGCGAGAGTTCCTTTTTTGGGATTTAGGAAATGATTGTTTCTTTGTTAACTTTAACCATTGCTGCAAGTTTGTCATATGCATTTTGTTTGGTATCTTCCCCTTTGTGTGTTCTTGTACTTCCATTTGTGTTACAAAGAGAATTTAGTGTTTATTAACCCGCTCCAATAATAATGAAGGTTGTAGTCTTATTTTGAATCCAATTTCAGTTTCTCGGTAAACTATTCTCTATTAACCTTATGGGACGGACTGTTGTGTGACTGCCACGATCTAAATGCTCAAAAAAATTATGTATGTGACACTTCAATGAATGTCTCTCTGCGCATTTAGAGGCAAAGAAAGTTGGCATTGGGTGGGTAGTGTTTGATGAAAGTTTTGTAAAGTTCTCTTTAAATATATTTCATAATGAACATTTTTCTGATAGTGCTGGGTTGTGTCAAGATCAATATATATATATATATATATATAGATATAGATATATCTACATATATGTATGCTCGACAACACATTACTTGTTTTCTTTGTCCCATGCGTATCGAAGAATAAAGAAGTTTAAGTTGAATTTAGGCGTAATATAGTGAAAGTCCAAATATGATATTCAATTGTCGACTACTAGCTGAACATTGATGACCGAAGTGGTTGATTGTTTGTTGTTTGATTTGAATACTTTTAGGTGGTAAGGTTAAATGCTTGCTGATTGTGGTTGGCTTAAGTTTGCCGTTGGACTGGGTCCCTTATAAAGCTCAGTGTTTGGTTTACCGGGAAAAAAAAAAGAGTGAGTATTTGATCTCTGTCTTTTGCTTTTCTCCATTTGGTGGGTTTGAAACTGGTTTCTCCTTTAGTTGGTTTTATGTACAATCCAAGGAGGCTTATTTTATTGTTTAGATGCTCTATCTTGTTATTATTTAATGTTTTCCTGTATTTAGAAGGCCCTTTTACGAATTGTAGTCACTTGGCTCTGTTTATTATTGGAATGGAGAGTTTTATATCTTTATGGACTTGTTATTTGGGGAAAAGTGCATTATGAGTTTACATTCCAACAGACGGGTTTAATCAACTCTTTATTATCTTTCCCAAACAGACCTTCACATTCATCCGGGCACTTTTCAGCAATTCTAGGATCCTCACATCTGACACGAGTTCATACTTCTTGGATATACGCGGTTAGTATGATCTCATTTGTTGTTCAGTATTTTTAATGGTTTTTCATCATTAGTGTATGTATACCAAATATGACACGCTCTAACTTTTCTGAACATGTAAACTTTTTTGAGAAAAAAAAAAAAACAAAATTTGTCACATCATGATGTGTTCTCCATCAGTATCAAACAATTACTTGGGAGTAATAGATGCATCTGTTAATGGATATTACAATTATATTTCCTTCTAAGTGTTTTTCAACAAGTAGAAAAATCCTTGTTTCTTTCTTAACAATGAATCAGATCCAAAATGGTTTCTTCTCGTTAATAAATTAGGTTCTTTTGTAGATTATTCTGGTGCCTTTTCACTGTATCATCCAGATACTAATTGGGTATTGATGTGACTTCTTGATTTTATGTTCTCTTTCGATGGGGTAAAGTAAAATCTGTGTATGAATTGGAGATTTTAGTGATTGCTGGAATGTTTTGGTTGTTCTTTCATCCATGACCTGTTAGGAATTTGTCAAGCATCTCAAGTTCTCATTTTAAATTATAGTGTTTTGTTTTATTTATGAGAATAAAATAAAGTGAATCCCACCTATAGAATCAGTAATTAAAAAGATCTTGGTTGGAAGAGAGCTTAATTTCAGCATTTTAGCCGAAGCAACTTATTATCTGTTATCTAGCTACTATCTGTTACAAGAGTGAGATTTCCCTTGAGTTAATGTTATTAAAAAAAAGAAAAATGTCCATTGATTTTGTCCTCTCGTGGATTTTTTCTTTAATTATATTTTTTATTAAGTTTTTTTTTTTTTTTTTTTTTTTTTTTTTTTTTTTTTGGGTATCGGAGTTGTACGTTCAATTTCATCCTAAAAGAATGTCAAGTCCTCTCTTTTTCATGTGTTTATTTAAAAATCCTAGACATAACAAACACAATGGAATATGTTTAAGCTGAAAAATAAAAATATTAGATCCTATTATAGACACGGTTCAAGCATGAATTCATTGTTTTCAAGAGTTCTCTATTTCCCTTTTCTTCTGGTTAATGATTTGGTCGACTCATATACCACTTTTAATGCCAAACAGCCCATATCATAAATTTGCAAGCTAAATAAAAGTCTCCTCTCTCTCTCTCTCTCTCTCTCTCTCTCTCTCTCTCTGTTTTTTTTTTTCTTTTTCCTTCTTCTCTCAGCTCTCTGTTTTTTCCCCTCTTGGTGTTCTCTTTTGTGGCGATTGAGAGCTAATTAAAGGGTTGAATCTCTCATATTTCTTTTGAATGCATAATGTAAAGTTACTCCTTTTCTTTTTTTCCTGGTTTAGAAGTGTTGAAATCTGAAAGCTTTAGAGCAATTCTTCATACAATTGAAAAAAGAACAAATGAACTTCATTAGCATAAGCATTCCTCATTAGGTGTTACTCTTATTCCTTGTTGTTCCCAAGTGTCTTTGCTAATTATTATCATTCCCTTTGGTTTTGCTTTACCTGAATGCTAATTGTTGGATAAAATAAAATAAACCTTAAATGAGCAGTTATAATACAGAGCTTAACACGTGCAAAGGCGAAGCACGTGGTTACAACTAGTTATTAAGATAATTATGGGCTGTTATCATATACTAACCTCATCCAAACTTCTGATTGTTACCTTCTTAAAATTATCTTCTCTAATAAAATACTCTCTCCTGTCATTTAACACGTTCCTATTCTCCACCTGATTTTAAATTCAAATTTTAAATTGGGCAGTTTATGTATCAGTAACCAACTCTCTGTATACCAAATTATTAGTTAACTGCTCTTGTTGTCTGTAATATGAGATCTGATTGGCTTGATATATATTTTTTAAAAAATAATTATTAAAGTTAAAGAAAATAGAATAACATAACTTTACGATAGTCTAATGTAAACTTATAATCTCATACTATTAACCTGATAGTACACTCCTATTATGCTTAAACATTCCTACAACTCTTCTTCCATCTCTATTATCTAATGAAAATCATTCCCTGGAATGCTGATCAAGAAGCTTTTCGACAACTCCTCCGACTAAAACAACATACTCCTGATGTGATTTTCCTTCTTGAAACCAGATTAATATCTGGTCAATTAAATAAATTTTGTCATCTCCAAAGTTCAATGATGGGTTTGAGATTCCAAGAGAAGGTTTTGGTGGTGGTCTTTTACTCCTATGGAAAGATTCGGTTGATTTTAAAATCCTTTCAACTTCAAAATGTCATATTGATTGCTATTTCAAACGTCCACAGAACTTCTCTTTTCATTTCTCTGGTGTCTATGGTGCTCCTGAATCCTGTAACAGGAAATTTACCTGGGACTCTTAAGACGTTTAAGTGTGATTGCAACTTCTCAGCCTTGGCTTGTTATGGGGGTCTTAATGAAATTCTCTTTACAAGATAAAGTTGGTGGTGCTCTTCGTTCAGAAAGACAACTGGATGATTTCAAGAACTGTTTAGATGATTGTAATCTTTCTCCGATTGACTTTGAGGGACCAAGATTGACTTGGGATAACAAATGGCCAGACCATTCCAATATAAAAGAAAGACTTGATTGGGCTCTTTGTAATCCGTTATTCTCTCAATCTCATTTGGATATTTCCTTATTCCATATAGATTTTTTTGGTTCTGATCATCGTGCTCTCAAGATTTCTCTGACTCTATCGTCTAATCTCCCCTTTTCTATTCGAAAGAGATCTCGTTTTTGTTTTGGAAAAATGATTCTGAATGTGAATTCATCATTAAAACAAAATGGCAAAAATTGGATCCTTCTTTCTCTCACTTCTTATCTTTCCAATCTCCAAGGTATTTCTTCCTCTCTCACTTCTTATCTCTCCATTCTCCAAGATATTTCTTTTTCCATTTCATTGTTTATAATCATATTTCTCTCTCTTAATTGTATTTTACATTATATACTGAGTCATAAATGTCATAAAATTCACCACACAAACTGTTATTTATTAATTTATTTTCGATTTCACAGTAATTGTTAAAAAGTTATTTTGTACACTTGATTCGGAAACTTACTCTGTTTGAATCATTACTACATTGTTAATTCATTACTTTTTGATAAGAAACAAAGAAAACTCTATTGAATAAGATTATAATACGAATGAAGCTTCAAGATGGATGAGAAATCCATCTTTAAGCAGAAAAGGAAGATACAAATCACATAATCTAAGAACTAACAGTAGCAAATTGATAAGCCTCCTGTTATTTTTCATTATGCAAGGAAGAATAAAACGAAGGCAGGGTCTTAAGTGTGGTTGTTAGTAATTGGCTGTGAGTTTATACGGTTTGTTTGCTCTGTCATGTTTAGTCTGGTATGACTGGTCAGTGGTAATGCGTAGATAATATGACAGGTGATGTAGTATAACACTAGAAGTGTATAATAGGTGGTTCTAGAGAAATTAGTTAGGCAGGTGAGTTCTTTGATGTAAACTTTTGGAAAATCCAAGAGCGGAAGAGTGCACGGTCTCTCCAATACCACCCTTGTTAATGATTGTTCTTCAAAAAAGCTTTCGATTTTCTTTGGTTCAGTTTCTTTAATTCTAGACAGTGTTATCTTTTTCTTTTCTTTTAAGATTTTGATTTCTTTAGTTATATTTATTTTGTTACGTGCATCTTGTATCTGTTGTATATCTTAGTATACATGGTTGTGACAGTGCTATGCATTTGAATATGAATCTCTATTGTTTCTTTTCTTAAAGATTAAACAATTGACTTTGTCAGATTATAATTCTTAATGGAGTCCAATACTTAATCTCTATTGTGAATTGAATTTAACAGATTCAGAAGGTTATGATATATCTCATCCTCTTGCCGTTTTCTATCGCTCTAGTTGTTGGTGCTCAGCAAGGACAAGCGACACCAGACCCGTTAACTGAAGTCGACACGAGGTGCCTGGTGAAGAAGTTTGCGGACCTAGTGATTGTAATTGGTATTCCCGCTGGGGTGCTAACTCTAGTTGTCTTTGTGCTAATATTTTCTCTTTATCGAGCTTGTTCCCATAGGCAGCAACGGACACTTCCAGCGGCTTCCTCAGTTGCAACACCACAGGGTTATGTAGCAACTGAAGCTACAACTTCAGCCGTGGTGCCAACACAAAGCGTTGGTTCAGCTGTGATCGGGAGTTTTCCACTTCACAGCTTTCCAAGTGAGGGGAGCGCCACGTTTGGTGATACATGTGGTATTTGCATCGAGGACTTTGCTGATGGAGAAACCTTGCGTAGTTTCCCGAACTGCGGTCACCTATATCACTCCGAGTGCCTCGAGGGTTGGCTGAATGGTGATGGAGGAAAATGGTGTCCTTGCTGTAAACGTGATCTTGTTGCATGACCTTAAACTAAACTTTTAGTTTGTAGGTGTTTTATCATGTAACATATACTGTATATTTGGCATTTACTCATTTGGGATTATGTGGTAACAAGTAACAACTAGGTATCGTTATTGAAGCAAATACGGGAATGCCAAGAGGATTAGCCGTGACACACTTGGATGAGCATGTAGAGTGTAGGAAAAGCTGTAAAGTAATTCTTCTTATCTATTTTCAGAAGGAAATATATACACCATACGGAAATCAATTTAGATCCTAGAATAAAGAATATATATTGTCATTGCCTATTCACATTCCTACATAAATGTAAACAAATCAATTCAGTTGACCGAGATGATTGGAAGAGATTCCTCACTTTGTGCATTGATTGGCTTTTCATTCCTTGACACTCCTTCTCAAGTTAGGAATGTATGTTGATAATTCCTAACATGCCAAGTAAAGTCGAAAAATGTGAAGAACTCAATGGCTTCGTGATGTGGATATGTGACTCATTTTGATCATTCTTTCTTGAACATTTTCTCGTATAAGATGACAATCAATTTCTATATGTTTTGTTTGCTCATGAAAAATCGGGTTTAAAGCAATATGCAGTGCTGCTTGATTGTCACAATATAAATTGACATAATGTGAGTGTTGGATGCCCAAGTCTTGTAGCTTGTACTTTAACCAGGTAATCTCACAGCAAGTTGTAGCCATAGATCGGTATTCGGCTTCTACGCTAGATTAGGATACTGTAGTTTGCTTCTTAGGTTTTCAAGAAAATGATGAATTTCCAAGAAATATGCAATACCCTATAACAAATCGCCGTGTATCTCGACATTTGGCCAATCTGCATCTCAAAAGGCATTTAATTAAATTGAACTATCTGTAGGAAGAAAAATTCCTTGACCTGGTGTTTGCTTCACATAGCGTAATACACGATAAGCTGCTTCTAGGTGTGGAACTCGTGGTTTGTCCATAAATTGACTTAGTACATGGACTGCATATGCCGAGTCTAGGTCGTGTGATAGTCAAATAAATTAGTTGTCCAACGAGCCTTCGATATGAAGAGTGATCACTAATATAGTCACCATCAAACTTCTAAGGGATAAGTTTTGCTCCATTGGAAAAGAGCCTGGTTTCGCCCCTAGATATCCAACATCTTCGAGAATTTGGAGAGCAATTTTCGTTGTGAAAGAGCAATGCCTTTGTTGGATCAAGCAACTTCTATTCCTAGAAAATACTTCAATTGCCCAAGGTCCTTCAATTTAAATTGATCCCTTAAAAATGACTTGGTATCTTCAATGTCTTGTAGATTATTTCCTGCTAGGATGACATCGTCTACATAAATGAGGAGAGCAGTGAATTTACCATCCTAGGATTGGACGAACAAGGAATAGTCGGCCTTTGATTGTTTGAAGTTAGCTCGTTTGAGGGCAGTGGAGACTGGAGAGTTTGATAAATCATTGGCGAGAAGCTTGTTTGAGACTGTACAATGATTTGTGAAGCTTGCAAACTCATGTCAACCCCTTTCGTCCGAAATCAGGAGTTAAAGACATGTAAACATTTTTATCAAGATCTCCATGTAAGAAAGCATTATTGACGTCAAGTTGGTGAAGATGCCAATGTTGAGTTGAGGCGACAGCAAGGAGGAGACGAACAGTCACAAGCTTTGCAATTGGAGCAAAAGTCTCACTATATTCTAATCATTCAATTTGGTTGTATCCTTTGGCTACCAATTTTGCCTTATAACACTCGACAATACCATCGGGTTTGAATTTGATCTTGTATACCCATTTGCATCCAACTGGTTTCTTCCCTGGAGGAAGTGCCTGAAGAGACCATGTTCCATTAGCCTTGAGTGCTGCAAGTTCTTGTTGCATAGTAAGGCACCAATTGGGATCACGAACTGCCTGTTCAAAGGATGTTGGTTCTTTTTGTGTTGAAAGAGAAGTGGTGAAAGCATAGTATTTGGGTGATAACTTATCTTACGAAAGTACATCAAATAAGGGATAAATAATACATGTTGCTTTAACCATTGCTAAGTTAGATGACGGGACAGGACATTCTTTGAAGGAAGAGAAATACCAACACGATACTCACAAAGATAACTAAGTGCTGTTGTTGTTTGTGTCAATCGTGAGAGAGGAATGTGTGATTCATGGGAATCATGAGCAGTGGGTGGACTAATATTTGGTGAGAGTAAATCAACGGAGATAGCTTTAGTGACAGAGTTTGAAGGAGAGGCTTCTTGATAAATTGGTGCTATTTTGGTATGAATTTGTAATGATACGTCCCATTTAAGCTATTTTGTAAGAAATTCTGTTAAAATCTGGCGGAAAAAAAAGAGGGTTAAATGTGCTATTTGGTTTTAACTGTTCGATCTTAATAGAAATTTAAGGAAAGAGACCATGTGATTACATTATTCTCGTTTTTTTATATGTTTTTAATAGAAATTACAACAAAATGGTTAAGTGAGAATAATTCAAAGTTCACGAGGCAATGTGAGAATTTTTAATATAAGAGAGGGTAAAATGGAGATGACCCTAAAGTTCAGAGGGCATCTGTTATAATTATCTAAATATAAACATGGTTTATGATTTTGGGATCTATACCATTGAGTAGTATTCCCCTTGTCGTACAATAAAAATTGAGATTATAATGTGTTTAATTCCCAAATACATAACATGGAGGATGTATAATTTTTTAACCTCTCAAAAATAGAGTTGCAATGTTTTGAACCTCCCAAGAAAATGGAGTTATAATCTTGAAGTCCACACAATGATAGTAAATTTATTGAAAAATATACCCACAAGGAAGTGTGTTCTGTTTAAATTGGATGGTGCATGCAATGTGTTACGTGGACATTCATAGGCAGGGATTCTCAAAGTCCTAAAAGGAAAAAGACTAGCAACATTTGGGCCTGTTTGGGTGAGAGACCAATACAATCATAGGAGAAAGAGGAAAATAGGCCGAGACTTGAGATGAATTAAAATTAATAGGTCAATAGTTTACATAAATTAATAAATATGCTAAATTACTGTTTTCGTCTATAACTTGTCTGGTTATGAACCATAACTTGATAAGTTATTGTCCATAATTGTCCATAACTTGTCTGGCTATGAACCATAACTTGACAAGTTTATCCATAACTTATCTAGTTATTAACCATAACTGACAAGTTATGGTCTATTAATTTCTATAACTAAAAATTGGCCTATATACTTTCTTAAGCTTTTCATATTGGCATATTTTCTAATCCCTACAATCATATTGCTGTCAACTGCTGGGTTACTGACCCAGTAAAATAAAGGGTACCCACAAGGAAGTGTGATCTGTTTAAATTGGATGGTGCATGCAATGTGCTGCGTGGACATCATATGCAGGATTGGATAATTTTCACAAATACCCCTTAAAATGGTACTATTAAAGATTTTTGGGTCTGAACATTAACCTATTGAATTATGCCCTTTTAGAGTAAGTAATTTAACATATTATTATCTATAATGTAACAAATTACGCTGGCGGCAATTCTCCAATCATGGGCGGATGGCGTAATTTGATAAATTATTATCAAAGGGGTAGATTATCACAGTAAAAGAATAAAACTCTAAAAGGATGTGTTTTTGAGGGTCAGTTTTTACAATTTTCTTGCAGGGATTCTCAGAAGTCACTAAACGAAAGAGAGTAGCAACATTTGGGCCAGTTTGGGAAAAGATCAATACAATCATATTGCTGTCAACTGCTGGGTTACTGACCCAGTAAAATAAGGGCTCTTTACACATATAACAAAAATTAGGGAGAGAATTATGAAAATTAAAAATAGCACTCAAATGGTAAAATATTATTTATGTTACTATATAAAAAATAAACAATTAACATTCAATTAATAAAAAGAAAACATAAACATAATAACACTTAATTATTTAAAATAACATAAATAATAGGCTCGACGAAGGTCATCTGTAAAGAAGGTATAAAGCTTGTACGGAGGCAGGCAAAGAAACAAAAATGGCCAATTGACTTCACCTAATCAAAGGTTGCATCGATGGAACTTTGATAATTGCATGAGGCAATAAATTCGCCAATAAATTCAATATAAAGTTTTAGTTACATAGACTTTTAAGTTTCATTTCACAATTCTTCTAAAACTAGAATTATAAATCCAATTATTTCCAAAATCACACAAAAAGAGATAAATGAGTTTAATCCAAAATAAACTCTAAAAATCACAAAGAGCGAACAGCATCATCTTGAAATTTGATTCCCTTTAAAAAGATACATAGACAACCTAACAAAATAAATTAGGTGAAATGAGAGAAAATTTGGCACAATAATGATTCTATACATGCCTTTGTAACAATGCTGTTTTAGCTGATTTGGCATAATAAGGAAAGCGTCTTTTTCTCCAAAAAAAACAAAAAAAAACAAAAAAAGAAAGAAAGAAAGGAAAGTGTTTTTTGGATGATGAATGACAATGGGACCCGTTCACTTTGTTGATTCGAGTTTAGATATAACTTTATGTGAGAGCTTTTTACTATAGTAAAAAAGTTAGATGTGATTGTTTCTGAGAGTTTTTTACTGTAGTAAAACTCAAATTTTAAACTCAAGTCGGTAAAATAAACGAGGCTAATTAGACTCATACGAGTACGAGGAAGATTTTTTTTTTTTTTTGGCAAATGTTATGTTTTCTTTTTTGAGAAAGAAGATTTGAGTTCCACTTATATTTTTGTTGCTTCTTGATCTTATCCGGATTCTTAGAAAAATGAGTTAAATACCTATCAATAAAAAATAAAAAAAGTAACCAACAGGCTTCTTTGAGTTTTTTTTTTTTTTTTTGACATGATGCATAAGATTCCGAACATTATTCGTTATGTATTTATTATTATGGAAACAGAATATCAATAAAGCCTGCGCTAATTTCATTCTCAGTGGACATAATTAAGGGAAGTAATTAAATTTGCATGATCAATGGAAAAATATATTAAGGGAAGTAATTAAATTTGCATGATCAATGGAAAAATATTTGGTGCACGTTTATGGATTTTCAACGCTTTGAAACTTATTTGTATTTAGATAGGCGTTTGATTGATGTTTGCTTGTCATTTGCTATTGGGAACACAAAAAAAAGGGGGAAAAAAAAAAACAGAGAGAGAGAGAAAGAGAGAAGAAATTAAATAATTATGAAATGAGACAGGGATGAGCTGATTAAGAGGAGGAACATGAAAAGAAAAGGAAAATGAAAAATAAGAAAGAATCTTTATGGATTCTTCGGAGCAAAAAAAAAAAAAATCTTTATGGATTCTAGGGTTTCGCAGATTGCAATATATTTACTTTTTCCCACATTAGTATACAGAAAATTAAATTACATTTATGAAATTATTTTGAAGTTGCCTTTTTTTGTTTTTGTTTTTTGAGGTAAAGATTTCAAGATTTTGCAACTGTAATAAGTATCAAATGTATATAATATGAATGATTATATTCATACCCACTGAATTAATTAATACCCCACAATTCATAATTTATATTTATTATAATTTTGAAATTATATTGAAACCATTAATTTAACCTGACAAAACTATAAATAGAAATAGTATATTTTTTTTCAAAATTTTTAAAAAAAAAGTTAAAAGAGCATATACCCACCTTAATTATAATCAGAAAGTATTTTTTAAAAGGAATAAAAAGATATCCCACATCTCTATTGTACGCTAATTTACTCATCTTTTAAATCCTAAACTTTTCTCTATTAAATTTTTTTTTTTTGTTGAAAATTTCAATGGAGGTTTCAATTGAAAATAAAAAGAGTCATCAAATACTAAAGTATGTATTTCTTATAATAGAAAATCTCCTTACGATATGCATCATCATCATTGTGCATCTATTTTTTTTTTTTTTTTTTGATGAATAACATCTGGCTGCTTTTTGTGTTATCGAAGCTTTGTTTTTATTTAATAATAATAAAAAAGAATGTCAAGCATGATTGATAAATAAGGACAAAAAGAGAAAAGTAAATAAAGAATTGCAATAATTTTGAAAAGGAAATATAACATAAGTAGTTGAAAGGTATTATAGTCTCGTTCATTTCACTTATTCGAGTTTTCAGTTTTAGGTTTTTACAGTAAAAAATTCTTAGAAAATGTCACATTTAACTTTTTTTGTTACAGTAAAAAGCTCTCAGAAAATGTCACATCTCAGTTCGAATTAAAAACTCGAATCCGCGAAGTGAATGAGGCCTATATAATTTTAATGAATCAAATCAAAATTAAGAGTAGGTAGAAATGTGAGAATATTAAATTAGATATTGCTGTGTGGGAAAATATACGTTGACACGTCGGACAGCGACTATGCTTCACATGGCCCCATGCTTGCCACGTCACATAGACATCGACGCCTGAATTGATTCCCCTCCCCCATATGGTATATGAACCGAGTGCATAAGGGGGGATGATACCGTCGACCCTATATGCCGTCGAGGGCTGCTAATCTGCGTACAGCGATAGGGTCGACCGAGAGAGAAGCCACACCTTGCAAAGTAAAGCGTAGGCGCATAGGACATAACGCAATCAACTGGGACCATATCCCAAGGAAGACCTCTGAGGTGACAAGCTGGAGATCCCTAGGTTGCGTCTGGGTTTGAAAAAGGTCGGTTGCACAAGGAATGATTACGAGCCCCTAAAATTGTCTGGAACGGACGAATAGATATTACAGAGGATCTGCAGAGTCGTAATGGGGGGACAAATTGGATGAGTGAGCAGTCCAAAAGGCGTTGACAGGCTACGATCTAGGCAAATGAGATAGTAGGCCACTCGAGTGGACGGGCCACTTGAAAGGAACTGTCAAAAGGCCCTAAAAGCTGCCCGCCGTAGAATAATATTCATATGTAACTTATAAGCTATAAAAGGGGAAAAGCCCCTAAGAGGAAGAAGAGGATTTTTTATGTAACTTAAAAGGAACAAAAGAGAGAAATACAATACATTGAATGTAGCTATTTCTTCATAAGGGTGAACCACTATAAAATTTCCGTGCGTTTTTACTTTCATAAACACACAATATCAAATTCTCTTCACAGTACATCCAAAACATCAACACAAACTCTAGAATACTCAGTTAAATTATAAGTTTTAAACCGGTAACCCAACGGGCCACCGCAAGGTAATCTGGTGCACTTTTGTTGACGAAAACCGACCGTCAACAGATATAATGAAGATTATATCTATAAAAGGATAAAATTTTCAAATGTTTATTAAAAGAGTATTAATTATTGAGTACATCATGAAAATTTTAGGCTGCAAATATAATTACTCATATTATATATATTTTCATCAGTAAATTAGGCAATACCCTGTCAATATCACTACACGCGTTTCAACTGTTGACATCTCTACCTATCCATCATCTGTGAACCTATACATTTTTTTTTTTTTTTATTAACGATCTATATTGTTCAATTATGTTTTATTGTTCCTCTGTTTGTCTTCTTTCTGATTTCTGATCTGTTTTTGTATATGCATGCATAAATTCATGTCCGTACTAACACTAAAAAGTGGGACACAAATAAAAACAAAATTTATAAACTAAAATTAAAGAAAAATGTAAAACTTGTGCATAAATAAAAAAAATATAAAACAAATATAAGCATACAATTATTCTCTTAAGAGAGGAAAAAAAGCTATAAGAAACTAATAAAATAATATAAAAGATTTGTTTTTCTGCGTACAACCCACCCTTTTTTTTATTAAAGTTTGCTTTTCATTTTTATTTTTTATTTTTTTGGGAAACCTATTACGAGCATCAGTACCCGCTAACTAGTATAAGCCTTTGACATTCACGTATCCAAACTCATATTTGATTAAGATTTCCTTTGAACGAAAAAAAGTAGGAAAACTAAAATGAGGGAATAAAAGGGAGGATAATAAAGAACAACAGATGTAGTTTCCTACTTAAGGTTTCCTATAGAAAGCAAATATAATTAACATTTATGAAATTGTTCTAAGCTTGCAAAATTTTGAAAGGATTATTAGCATTAAATCTTAATTAATTACTAACACAAATTATATAATACCATATATATATATTTTTTTTATTTTTTTTTATTGATAGAATATGTAATACCATATATAGCACCATAAGAGGCCACTATATATATGTGCGTATATACAAGCAAGGCGTCCATAAACTCATCTCATAACATATATTGGCTGCCTACTAGGTATTTGATTTTCTCTAATTTCCTGTTTTTTCATGCCAAAATCTTCGTGCAGATTGTTTTTGTTCATGAACTTGTCCAATATATATGGTTTCAAGGTTTATGGTTTTTATATTTTAAATTTCTTCTTTTGAGCCACATAATAGAAGAAAACACCGTTCCAAACTCTTGATATTCCTTAGTTTTTTTTAAGGCTTTAATTTACCTAAACAATTGTATTTTTGCAATAGGCACTCATATTCAAGTTCATATTTTTTGTGTATTACATAGCAGATACACGTTTCTGTGTGTACAAAACTTTTATTGGATTTATTTTTTTCGTCAATATTTTTTTGTTCATGTAATTTTGCGACAGATCACACCAATCCATGGCAATCAGAGGATCAATCCTACTTTTCGCAGTTCTATTGTGTTGCTTTTGTTGCTATGGAAAAGTTGAAGGAGGCAACAGGAAATTATCAAGGAAAGAAGATTTGGAAATTGAAAAGCAACTTAAGCTTTTGAATAAGCCAGCACTCAAGACTATAAAAGTAAATCTTTTCATCTATTTATCTCTTCTTGATCGGATTCTGATTCTCTTGTAGTTTCGGATCATATCCTTAATTTTACTAAAATCTTAAGAAAATTAATAATCAGAACGTTAGAAATGTTGCAATTGCTTTGAAAATCAATTTATTGTGTTAAAAACTTTTTACTACAAAATTGCGGGGAACTTTGATATAGTTGTCGGTTTCGAAAACTACTAAATAATCATATTTTATGCCTTATTTTGACGTGGGATAATTACAAACTCCCGATTTTGAGTTATGTCTCTGACATATGATTAACGTTTTTATTCAGTAGTTCATAGCAATCTCTGACAATTGAAAATCATAACTATTTTTTTTTTTTTTTTTTTGGGTATAAACAATATTTCTTCTTTATTTTTTTTTAGATATATACCCTTTATTCTCACGAAAATAAAGGTATGAACTCTTTCAATCATACTTGACATAACTTTCTTTGTACATGTGCAGACTGAAAGTGGAGATATCTATGATTGTGTTGATTTCTACAAACAGCCGGCTTTTGATCATCCATTGCTGAAGAACCACACTTATCATTATGAGGTGTTTGTTGTTCTTCTTCTTACCCAAATATTTTTTTTTCTTTGCTAATTAATTTGATAAGCACCTTTTGCATATGCAAAGTTATATATCATGATGACATGAACAAAATATATATTTGGTTTATGGATCAGACGACACCAATATCTCCGAATAAGAAGATCACTGACAAAGAACCAGCAGGGGCCGGCGAACCATTAAAAATAGGGCTGCAAGGTGAAGGTTGTCCTATTGGAACAGTTCCTATTCGGAGAACTACTAAAGAAGATCTCATTAGAGCCAAGTTATTTGCAGACACATATGCTTCAAGATTCAATCCCCTCACCGTCCAAAGGCCAGGCCTTCATGTAAGTTTTTTATTTTCACCTCTCACATTCAGCATCTTCATATATATATATATATATATTTTTTTTTTTTTCAACTATGACAATTACACTTGCATGAATGCCTTGATTTAGTCGATGCGATTCTTCATTTAATAACTGTATTGTAATTTATCCAGCGTGCCATCGTTCGAACAAGATCCGTACCTGCAAAGAAGTACAATGGAGGTGGTGGAATGGTCAGCGTATACCAGCCAAGTGTTAGTGACTCGCAGTTCAGTTCAGCTCAAATGACAATCCAAGGCGGATCAGACAACATACAAGTTGGGTGGACGGTGAGTAAGCCTCTTAGTTAATCTGATTTTAGCTAGTTTAATTTATTTAAGGCCCGTTTATTTCGCTGATTCGAGTTGAGATGTGACTTTATATGAGTTTTTTTACTGTTGCAAAAAAATTAAATGTAACTATTTCTGAGAGCTTTTTATTATAACAAAACTCGAATTCTAAATTCAAATCGGTGAAACGAACGGAACCTAAAATTTGCATGTATTCCAAGAAGGCGATCAATTTCTGGGCACATGATTTCTTAACTTTAGTTTTACAAAGTAGATAGTGGTCATGGTTTGTACTTGTTCATGTTGCTGGAAAAATATCTTGTTTGCTATAGCACTTGTTGCTTATGATTTTTAACTTCTCATCTTTCACCAGGTAAACCCTAGTTTATATGGTGACACTAAAACTCGGCTCTTCACATTTTTTAAGGTAAGTCTCGTCTGTTCTATTTGTTTTGTTTTTTTGTTTTTTTTGTTTTTTTAAAGTAAGTCTCGTCTGTTTTATTTGTTGAATATACTTGTTGATAATAAAATTTGTCAGTTAAATTTATACGTCATCTTTATTTAATTATTTATTTATTTTGCAGGCTGGTCCAACATTTTGTTTTAACACACAATGCCCGGGGTTTGTTATTGTTAATACCGACATACCTCTAGATAGCATTATTACAACAATTTCTACACGCGGCGGACCAATATATGATATGAGGCTGTTTGTTTACCGGGTAAACAACCTACTGTAAGCTTATCTGTTATTATATTAGCCTTGTTTTCCCATATCTTTGTTCTTTTAACTCGCGTTTGGTTAGTGTATTCGTGTCATGATTTAAATTATGGTTCGTAGTTTATTATAGTATTTTCTCTCACAAAAAACACACGTAAATTGAGAATGATTTTTTTTTGCTACAGTGAGTGATTCACGGGTGTAAAGCACGAACGAATAGCGTCCCAACATTCCTTTCCAAGGAATGGAGTAAATGGACGACCTTCTATCTAAAGGGGAAGGGGAGGGGGTTCGGGGGAGGGGAAGGGTCCCCTCCCTTAGCGGCCCGCTATTCCGAAGGAATGGAATAAAGGGACGACAAAAAAAGAGTTATCGGCCCACCATTCCGAAAGAATGAGATAAGGGCCGACCTTCTAAAAAGAAAAAAATATTTCAACTTGAATTAAAAACTTGAATAAGCGAATGTAAATATTCATTCTTTGTTCTTACCATACGTTTTCTTAAATGGTGACAGGACCAAGTAAGTGGAAATTGGTGGCTTGAAGTGGGACCAAACTACTCAAAAGTAGGATATTGGCCATCAAAAATATTCAGTGGCTTAAAAGACTTGGCTACATATGTTGATTGGGGAGGAGAGGCTTACAGTCCACTGGGTCAACATGGTCCTGAAATGGGTGCTGGCGATTATCTAGATGGAGACACTAACAAGGATGCATTTTGTAAGCTAGTCACAACAGTAAATGAGGCTCATAACCCCGAAGATGCCCAAAATACCGAAACGTTTTCAGATGATATTCGCTACTATCAGGTTGATGACTGGGGAGTACGAGGTCAATCTGGACATGTAATGACGTTTGGAGGGCCTGGACCGCAGTGATTTCCCTTCTTGCTACATATACAAATAAGTTTTTCTCTTAGAAAAAAGAAAAACTAGCCGAATAAATTAGTATTTTTGAGTTTTGATCTGTAGAATCTTTCCCCGTTATTTTGTTTCTCACCTCGCTACTCTAATCATATTGCCATTTTATATGTTGTGCTACTACTCTCTTTTCAACTCTTGACTTTTATCAAGCTTCAATCTTAGCAATGAAATGAAAAGCGTTCAAATTTGTGTCATCCCTGTTAAGTAGAAGATTGTTATAATTGTATATTGATGGCTGAATCTTGTTCATGCTGAAGATCTTTGCTGCCAAAAGTCATTAAACAAAATGAATTTGTGCAGCTAATAGGGAGAATACTTATAGAAATGGTTGCGAGATTTTAATCATAGAATATGGTTACTAATTCCAACCATTTTCTCGTTGAGAAAATAACTGTGAGACAAATGTGTTTTTATTATATACGTATATACATAATTGGGATTTTGGTGGAATCTAGAAAGTGTTGGTTTTGATTTGAATTTTAGTGCAAATACTAGTACTTTCTTGATTTAGTCAACCTAGATTTTGAAATACTTGGGATTTTGTGTTGTGAGTAAATGCTGATCATTTTGATTTAAACTATAAATTATTGGTTTTGATTTGTGTTTTAAATCTGATAATCGATCATTTTACTTGCTTATAATGCATGAATAAAGTCATAAGTGGGATCTTCTGTTTTTGCATTGTCATTTGTCTTTTTGATACCAGCTGGTTAAGGTTTTGAGTTTGTTCTGAGTGATTTCATCAAACTCACTTTCTTTGCTAGTACAGAATTGCCATTTTACATAGTCCTTTCTTCTACGTTTCTTTTAATGTGTTGGTCTCGTTCATTTTACCGATTTGAGTTTTTAGTTTTAAATTTCTACAGTAAAAAGCTATCAGAAAATATCACATCTAACTTTTTCTACTACAGTGAAAAACTCTCAAAAAATGTCACATCTCAGCTCGAATTGAAAATTTGAATCCACGAAGTGAACGAAGCCACCGTTTGTTTAATTCTTCTCATAGTGCATGCTTTCAACTGCTAAATAAATATCAAGCATTTATTTTTTTAAAATAATAAAATAAAATAGTTTACAACTCTTTTTGAATAGTTTCCATTTTGAAGAGCTTTTGACAGGAGTGTTTTTGTTGAAGATTGATGATTTGTGTATTACGAAGCTAAAGTAAAATTTGTAGTGTCAACATTCTCTAGAACAGATATATCTTACTTTTGTACATTATTTTCCTATATATTTTACTGGAAATATTAAAATTTTCTCGTTTATAATATTTAGGTGTATTTAACAAATAGCTCTAGTACTCCTGCAGCGACAACAATCACCTTACATGGTTATAACAAGATCTGAGAGGCCTAAACAGGCCTATTAGAGGCTTGTCTATAATCTGACTATACATATATATATATATATATATATAAGACACAAAGTTATTTTTTAATTTTCATAGTTTTATATATTGTTAAAGTCCCTTTTATGAAAACTATATACGTAAGGATTGAATATCAACATCTGTATATGCACAATATAGATTCCGTTTATTTTATCGATTCGAGTTTAGCAAAAATAAAAAGCTCTTAGAAATAATCACATCTAACTTTTTTGTTACATTAAAAAGTTCTCACATAAAGTCACATTTAAACTCGAATTAAAAACTCGAATTAACAAATTAAATGGGTCCATGGTATATACGCAAGTTATTTTTAACGTTGTCATATTTAATTCGAGAATGAGTATTCGTAGTTGTCGTCGCCAACCCTTGAAGGCATTTGGAATGATAAGGTGACAAAATTTGAGGAAACTGCACAAGCTTTTCTCGCTGCAAACTTCTCGTGCAAATCTACATCTTATATCATATGTGGCGCCCAAAAAAATAATGCCCCCACCTAAAATTTTTTTAAAAAAAAAGAGAGAATGAAGAAAAAATTAACACATAAATATGAAAATTGTGGTTCTATTCACATATTCCTTTTCACTCAATATGTCTCCTTTAAATTAAAATTTTTTATGACAAAAAGACCCACGCATAAAATGACAAAAAAAAGAGAATTATGATAAACTTAATTAAAAAAAATTGAATTTCATTATAAACAAATAAGAAACTAATTATATAAGTTTTTCTTTCAACACACCCACATAGTATAAACTATTATTATTTTTGAAATCTATAATAAAACCCTATTTTTCAACTGACAATTCAAAAAATTTACATGGAGATATTCTTAATTTTTTCTTTTCTGTTGTATGACAATTTTTCTTTTATCTTCTTTTTTTTTCATTTTATGTTTATTTTTTTCTAAATAATCGCCCGTTTGGTTCATAGATTAGAATCATGAGATTATAATCATTTTTGATTTACGTGTATTTTTTGTGAGAGAAAATACTATAACGAACCATGAATCATGATTCGAATCAGAAAATGAATCCTCCAACCAAACGGGCTCGAATCATTTTGTTTTTTAGTTGTTTATAAAGTTGATTTTGTTTTTATCTTTTGTACTCTTTTTTTTTTTTTTTATAAAATCGTTTTTATTTTTTTTCATTTTGCCTTTTTCATCAATGCCTTAATTGATATAATAAGTATGTCGCCGTGATGCTCATATTTGTGTTCTTTATTTTTTTTTAAAAAAATGTAATTATAATTTCTTATGTTTGGAAAAAGGATTCATGCATGCCCAAAACTTTTAAAAAATATATATATAGAGATAAAAAAATAATAATATGAAAGTAATAAATTAAATTAAAATGATAGGTGTGCAAAGAAAAATAAAATAGTTGGAAATTGCCTTTCAAAAAAAAAAAGGTTAAGAATTGATTATATCTCAAAAAATAGTAAAAGACAGTTTTGGAATAATAGGGGTACTGTGTAAAAAGTAAATTTAATTTTTTAAAAATTAAGTGACGTGTGTATTTAGAAGAGGGATGCGGAGAGTAAAAAAAAAAACGTGAATAGAACCATTCATCTGAAAAACTATGAGACAAAATTACTCAGGTGATAAAAGTTTTGAAAAGGAAAAATCTGGTATATTTCTCCCATAGTTTAGTTATGACCTCAAAACTGACGCTCTAATTGTCACTCTGATTTAAAATCCTCTTAAGGCTGATATTTTTGCTGCAAATCCATATCCTTCTTTGGCTGTGCTGAGCAATACTAAAATTGTTATGCTTTTCTTTCGCTTTTCCCACTTAATGTTCTCAATATGAGCTCAGTCACTGGAAAAGTGCAATCCAACAATGAAATATGATTTTATGTGAGAGCTTTTAACTGTAGTAAAAAAAATTAAATGTGAATTTTTATGAGAATTTTTAACTGTAGTAAAATTAAAATTGAAAACTCAAATTGGTAAAATGAACGAAGTTTTAGTAAAGAAATTCTTCTTTCGTATCCTTGATAAATAAAACTTATGTAGATAGTTCTGGCTAATCCCATTTTGCCTGGTACGTTTCTTTTACCATTTCAATCTGCAACGAGGACATACGTATATATTTCTGTAATCCTGTCTCACAAACATCTGGAAGTCAACATTGATACAATTCACACATTTAATATAGAACCAAATTTCCAATATTAAATACAATGTACAAGTTTACAATAATAAATACCCGAAGACAACAAAAAAAAAAAACAAAACAAAAAGGAACCTATCAATCTTCACAATCAACATCTTAAACAATGAAAAGAATGTCTAACACAATTAAGCTACCCTAAAATTGAAATAAAACTATGAATATACACAATCAATATTTTGGACAATGACAAATCAATCTGTACGATCAACATTTTAGACAGTGAAAAGAATGTCTAGCACACTTGAGACACAAACTTGGGTATGATAGGTCTATACTCAAGAGGTTCTTCTTCTTCACCAAGCAAAAGTGCTCTCAAAATAGCCTCACACAAACCATTGTAATGCACAATCAAATGGCCACCATCAGGAACCTCATGATACCGAATCCATGGGAGCTTACTTGAAACATATCTCTGAAGCTGAAATGGCACAACCTTATCTTCATAACCTTGCCAAATGTGAACATAGCTTTGGTTCCCCGAAAACGGATTGCTCATATCCAGCGGATCAAACTCCCAATTGCTGTAAGCCACCGCAAAATCATCGCGCAGGGTATCAAAAACACCTTTTTGCCTCAACTTATCCTGATGTTTCAATCACAATCTTTGTCACTTACACTTAACAAATTTGTTATAACAAGCGTGTCGTTTTTCTTACCGGAGTGAGCATCGGGAATCCTTTGGCTGTTTTGAGAACATCTACATCTCTGCTGTTGAAAAAGACCGGATTTGTTTTCATGACAGAAGTTGAAGGAAGCCATTTCTGAGTCACCCACCAATAAAGCAGTCCAGGAGCACAATTTGCAAGCAAAAGTGCACAACGAACAAGTCTTTTCCTGTAGTCTTCTCTTATCAGATTGTGAGGAAGTGAAGGCCACCAATAATTCACAACTGGGACTACAAAAGCCACACCAGCTAACCTAACCAATAATAAAAAAAAAAAAAATTTGAAGAAAAGTAAGCAAAAGTTCTTGACATAATTGTGGTACAAAACCAAAGAAGCTATAATTTAAGGCTTTTTTTTTGGCATCACTTTCATAAAATTTTACATCATTAAAATGACCAAAAGAGTGGTTCAGATTCTCTTAAGCAACATCTTGAAAAGAACTCAATTCTTCATTGAAAAATAAAAAAATAAAAAAACAGAAATTTTAGCTAAAAAGCCAGCAGTTGATCATTTTACCTGTTTGGTATGTATTTGAGGCAACTCCAGGTGGAATATGACCCCATTGAGACTCCAATCACATAAAATTTTGATCCTATCAGCAACTTATCGGCTAGTTCTTGGATGTCAAGTGCTTCACTCTTGACTGATCGCCTCGGGTTCGGATCACTTTCTCCATACCCGGCTCGATCATAGAGCAGGAAATATATTCTCAACTCATCTATGAGCTCCTGAAAACTAAACCAAAGTGAGATTCACCTCATTCAACATATACCAATTTTAAGCCACTAAGTACTTTACTTCATTGTCGCCACACTTATTGTACAACATGAAATTAATAAACCAGAACACAATAAAGTTTGGTAATCTTATAGATTTTCACATTCATAAAGTTTGGTAGATATATTAGACTTTCATGCAAGTCATTTTCTCATTATAATTTATATATCATTATATTTGTACCTGGGGTGCCAGAAAATTCATCTCTTTAGAGCTTCCAAAGCCATGAATTATAATGATCTTGTAGTTTGATGTGTTCTTTGGAACCCCTTTTTCTTTGTAAGCCAAATATCTGCCATCACTCAATCTGATTCTTGGAGAAGTAATTGGAGGATCATCAGGTAAAGCTGTACCATGTGGAGGAGGCAACTGAGTGGCCAAAAAAAGCACACCAAAAAGTCCCATCAACAACACAATTGCTGTTCTCGAAACCATCCCTGAATGTAAACAACGGACAGTTTAGTAGATCTACTTTTTTCTGTTATTCAAAATTTCAATAATGGCAAAAAAAAAAAAAAAAGCGATTTTCCTGGGAAAGTGGAGGAAAAGTAGAGGGAATTTGAGCTCACCTGACATCAGTTTACTAGAAATGCTTTGTTGGGTATCAGGGATTTCAAGAGGTCAAGATGGATTTGTTTTGTGCGTCAGAATTTTCCTTTTTTCTTTTCTTTTCGACTTGATGATAGTTAGATTTTCTACTGCTGTTTTTGCAGTGCGAAGCCCACAAACTATAGCTTTCTTTGACCAAAAAACTTTACACATTTGTTGATGCTCACAAATTCCATAACGTTTTTGGATATTCTCCAAAATGTTCTGCTTCTTTTTGGGCTTTTTCTTTTTGGGGTTTTACTCATTTTAAAATGAAAGCAGTTGTCTTCTAATGTGACCATGATGGAAATATTGTTCTCCCGCAAAAGAAAAAAAAAAATTTGTGAGAAGAAAAAGTAATCAAAATTTTGTGGTAGGATATTGAAAGACCTTAACAATTCTCCAAAAACATTAATGTGAAATCTTGTATAATTACATTAAAATTATACTAGACTAACGGTTAACCTTTAAGGTACAGAGTTTAAATCCTATATCTAAGTAAATAATAATAATAATTCTAAGGCACTGTTTATTTCATTAATTCGAGTTTAGAATTTAAGTTTTATTACAGTAAAAAATTTTCAGAGACAATCACATTTAACTTTTTTATTACAGTAAAAAGCTCTCACATAAAATCATATCTCAACTCGAATCAACGAATTAAACGGGGCCCTAAGACAATTTTTCTAAAATGATAAAAGGAGATAAAAACCCATTTTTCCCTGCAAAAATGGAAAATGCCAAACATTCTCTTTAATGTTATTAGTATGAGAGTGTGTTTGTGTGGAATTACACGCTATTATGCTAACGATAAATTTGAGATACTTTCAAGGAAAAAAAAAAAAAGGAAATAATAAAAAATATACTAATATGAAAAGCTTAAGAAAGTATATAGGCCAATTTTTAGTTATAAAAATTAATAGACCATAACTTGTCAAGTTATAGTTCATAATCAGATAAGTTATGAACAAATTTGTCAAGTTATGATTCATAATCAGACAAGTTATGGACAATAACTTGTCAAGTTATGGTTCATAACCAGACAAGTTACGGACGAAAATAGTAATTTAGCCTATTTATTAACTTATGTAAATTATTAACGTATTAATTTTAATTCATCTTAAATCTTAGTCTATTTTTCTCTTTCTCTCTAAAAAAAATTGGGACACCATGTTTTTTACCATTTTTTTTTAATTCACAATGACATCATGGGTTTTGGGCTTATACCTAAGTATGAGAATATTCTTATAGTTCCTTGTTGGACTAGTATGTTTATCAGTTTACGTCACCATTTCAGCCTATCGTCAACCCAGATGTACACGAAATAATTTCCTGTTAAGAATTCAAATTTAATTATAGATTGCGTTAGAAAATTTGCTCTTTCCTTCTTGGAAAATTTTTAAGTCTGTTCATTTCATCAATTTGAATTTAAAATTTAAGTTTTATTACAGTAAAAAACTCTCAGAAATAATCACATCTAATTTTTTTACTACAATAAAATTGTTTTACATAAAATCACATTTCAATTCGAATTAAAAATTTGAATAAACGAACTAAATGAGCTCTTAAAGTTGTCGCTCATAGATTTAAATTTTTATTCAGATAATTGATGGTTTCAAAAAGAGCTAATCCATGTGAGCTCATATTAATTCATTTACTTATCGTCAATTTTAAAATTTATATTAAACGTTGCTCCATTTAGTTACAGCAATTGGAAATAAAGAAAGTCTAACATACGAGCAACCCAATTTTCACGTAATTATAATATGAATTCTATGTGAGTTGAGCCTTGAGGGGGGGGGGGGGGGGGGGGGTCAAATTATTATTTTCGTCCATAACTTGTCTGGTTATAAATCATAACTTGACAAGTTATTGTCCATAACTTATCTGGTTATGAACCATAACTTATCTGATTATGAACCATAACTTGACAAACTTGTCTATAATTTATCTGGTTATGAACCATAACTTAACAAGTTATGACCTATTAATTTCTATAACTAAAAATTGATTTATATACTTTTTTAAACTTTTCATATTGACATATTTCTTACTATTTCCGTATAATTTACGTGTCAAATATGCCATACCTAGAATGCCAGCGGGCTGTGCAAAAATGTGTTGTTGGTCAGGCTGGGCCGTGCTTGGGCCAACAATATCAACGCCTGAGCCCAGTAAGGTCCATGTTTGTTGGCATGCTCGACATGATCCATTGTTGTATTATGTTGAGACCCCTATTTTTGAAGGATTTCCCAACATTAACCGCTAATGAATTGGCAATATTACCTCTATGAACACTAAAGCTACCAAATAACAAACAAGTTGCAATTCAGAGCCCTTAATTAGTTTAAAAATTTTAAACTTCTGTTTAAACTTTTGTTTTAGCCTATTAATCAAAACGAGTTATTATGAGATGAGAAATTTTCAGAAAAATCATTAAAAAGGAAACACTACTTTATTTTTTTTCATTATTTTAAAAGTTATTTTATATCACTAATAACTTTTGTTTCAAGGCATGTAAAATAATTATAGTGCATTAATTATTGTTCATTTAAAAAAATTATTATAGTTATTAGCTCTAGACCAATAATATTCTACCAAAAACTAAGTTGGGGCGTGTTGGGTGCGTTTGGAATTGATTTTTACTTGTTTTTAAAAAATATTTTTGCACGTCTTTTGAGACACAAAAATAAAAATGGTCTGTAAACCTAGTTTGTTTAGTAAATATTTTGAAAATGAAAACAAAAATAAAAAACAGTGAGAATGGTTTTTGTGAAAGAATTAGAAAACGATTAAAAGTTATTTTTTCTTTTCTGTTTTCATTTTCTAGTACTTATCAACAATGTTATAATATTTTAATTAATAATTATAACCAGACACGATTTCATCTTTCTATTATACTCAAAATAATCTCTTAAAAAATTAACCAAACACAATTTCAGAATTAGTCCCAGAATAATTCTCAAAACAATCTCATTCTTACTTTTATTTTTTAAAAACGTTACCAAATGGGCCATTGTCTCTTAATTCCACTTTTGTCTCTTCTAATTATCATGCATTAAAAAAGAAAATGAAAGAAAAAAAAAGCTCATTTTCCCTTCCAAAAAAAAAAAAAAAAAAAAAAGCACGGTGCAATATTGCGAGTTGCAGAATATATATTAAAGAAATGAATTACAATGATACATATTACATGTGTGGTGCTAGAAAGATTAAATCAGGTAATTAGCCGATTACCCTAGTAAGTATAATATATAAAAAGTTACAATTTTTCAAAGATGATCATCATCATCAGTAACCCTAACTCTGCGGTGAATGAATGGCGCGAAGCTTGAGTTCATCTCCGGCGGGTGCCACGTCATGTGCCCAAACTGCTCTCTCACTTGTCCCAATCCCTCATTCTCATCCACAGACCCAGCCCCTTGCTGCACAATCAACACCGACGCATCGGCCGCGAAGCTCGAGCACACTAGAACGTCCCCCAACGGGCCTAATTCCGGAAACTCCGACCAGTCCAACAGCCCCGCTGTGAGCGGCGACACCACGCCTTTCCCTCTCCCGACGACGTACAAGTTGTATCGGCCTTCCATGCCGCTCACTATCCTCACAACGTCTTCTCCATTGTCAGCTACCTGTTCCACTAGCCTTGTTGATGGCTGGTCCCTTGTTTTCAGCTTGAACTCCTCGATGTACTGGTCGTCCAACGGCTTCTCTCTCTCGCTTTCCGCTATGGCCTTCAGAATCCCGTCGTCCTCTTTGTCGTCACCCTCGAATCCTGGGATGTTACCACTTACATCGACGGCGTTTTTCCCTGGGAGGAACCTTATCACGGTTAAGGACACCCTCGGGCTCTTGGAGATCCTCCACGCGTAAGCCAGCGCATCTCGGTCGTCGCGTCCGCCGAGGAAGATCATCGCAATTTGGTGGCGGAAGCCGCCTCCGCCGCTGCCGCTGGCGGAGATTCCGAGCGAGTGCGTGTTGAAGACGCGGTCGACGAAAACCGCCACCGAGCAGGCTGCATTGTCGAGGACGTTCTTGTTGACGGCTCGGAAAGGAGAATTGGCGCCGCTCTCGGAGACAGCTCCTACTCCAACTCCTTCCACTGACGACTGGACGTGGAATGGGAGGATCGTGAGTGTCACGCGCTTGTCCTCCGCGAGGCTGCAGATGTCCTCATGCATGGTGCTGTAGGCAGAGACAGCGGTGAGTGACTGGATTGAGAAATTCTCGCCTTCCAAGTCCTCGAAAGCCTCGTGGATACTGTCCCCGTACTGTGAACCGACGTCCTTGGCGGCAGCGCCACTGCCGCCACCGGAGGCGTTGGCCTTGCAGGTTTCGTGGACGATGAGCATGGCAGAGGCGTGGCCGATGAGCTCGACAAGGTGGACCGCAAAGGCGGAGATGGGGGACTGTTTGGTGGGGTTGGAGTCCTTGAGGAGGCTGACGAGGCCGCCAGAGTTGCGGGTGGAATGAAGGCAGGCAAGGATTCGGAACTCTGAGTTGCCTTCTATGCTTCTAATTGTTCTGTACTTGTATACTCCCGGACGTCGTTTGGATTTGTAGGTTAGGGCCAGTATTGGTCCCACTGCTGCCGTCATTATCCATAGAGCTAAGACTATCACCGCAAATGTTTGCATGTCCAAAGCCTGCATGCGTTGGATTGGCCAATATTAGGCACGTGCATTTGCCAAAATTATATTACACCCACAGATATATACAATTAGAGGTTATTGAAATTGCACAAAAAATTTGTCTGCTTGAATATGAGATTCTTGTCATTAAATGATGGATTAAGGTTGTATATTTGAGAGTTGCAATAACGCTACATACCATACTTGCTTTTAACGAATGTTATAATTCCGATATATAATTTTTTTTTTTTTAGTTATTTATCTTTAAAGGTATTACAATTGGAACTTTTGAGTAAATATAGCAGGTAATTTCTTATTTAGTCATATAAATTGTCCCTAATTAGTATTTTTGTCTAATTATATAGAATGTGAGATTCGACTCACTCCTGTATTCCTTTATATAATTCGTGTTTCTTTTCATATTCCTATAATAATATCATAACATTTTAATTAAAGTATCATGTCAACTAGAAAAAATCATGCCATTTAATGAAATAACATTATATGATTGGAAGAATACAAAAGAGAACAAAAAAAAAAAAAAAAAAGACATATGAGCCTAATCCTAAAATGTCACCCTCCCCTCAAAAGGCCTAATATAATGGAAAGCGTATAAGCTCGTTTTCTTCTTTATTTTAATGTGTTTTCCCCTTTCTGAAGCGACCACAAGGTAACATATTCTAGTCAAAATTAAAACATCCAAATTATATAATAAGTATGCGTAATAATGACACTACTCTGGTTTCTAAAGATTATAGCTATTGTTTGATATACATTTGTTGTGGTAAATACACAGACAATCCAAAAGCATACTTTGACAAACTTATAATCACGCATCATCAAGTATATGCATTGCAAGCAAATATAGGAATCCATACCAAGATGTCTCGGCCAGCATTGATGATAATGAGTGAGAGCAAGCCTTTGGTGTTCATGAGGAGTCCAAGCGCCACGCCATCCCTAGCTGACATTTTGTTGACAAAGAAAGCGACTATGAAAGTGCTAAAAACCTTGGCCACGAACGCCAGCACTAAAACCAGCAGAATGCTTCCTGCGCCAACTCCCCTCTCGTGCATCCAATGCCAGTTGGTCCTCAACCCGATGCAGAAGAAGAAGAGCGGCGTCAGAATCTCCGACACGAAGTCCTCCACCGACTCCATCACCGCGTTCTTCAGCTCACCTTTCGGCAAGATGACTCCGAAAAGAAAAGCCCCAAAGAAGGAGTGCGAGCCGCAGGCGTCGGTTATGTAAGCGCTGAGCAAAACCCCGGCCAAGATGAAAACAATGTGCTTCTGATTGTAGTTCTCGTCCTTGCTCGTCCGCCGGAGCGCCCACTTTGCGGCGGGGCGCACGATGAAGAAGCAAAAGCCAACATAAATCGTGGTAGTGACAATGGTGAAAGCCCGTCCATTATGAGCTGTGGCCATCGTGAGGACGAAAAGGAACCAGCAAAGGAGATCGGAGACGACGGCGGAGGTTAAGGAAGTGCGGCCGACGTCAGTGTGGAGGAGTTTTAGGTCGGCTAGAAGGCCAGCGAGGTCGGGGAAGTTGGTGGTGGCGATGGCGAGGCCCCAGAAGAGGGGGCCGAAGCGGTTGGGCTTGCCTTTGGAGATTACGGCAAAGTCATCGATGAGGAGATAGTGGAGACCGAAGCCGATGGGGAAGGGGATTATGATGCCGGCGAGGGCGGTGGTGAGCGCCTTCTTGCTGCCGCGGAGGACGGGTTTAAGGTCCATTTCTAGGCCGACTATGAACATGAAGTAAATCAGCCCCACGCTGGCTATGTTTTCTAAGGTCTGTATACTTCCCCATTGAGTTATATTTTTTATGGAAAACTCCGAGAAGCCGATTCCAGACGGACCTAATAATATACCACCCTGCAATATTGCAATTACCAACTTCTTATTCATCATATTGCGCGCGCAGAATCTACAGGTCAGTTGTCATGACTTCATCTGACTTATTATTCACAAAGTTAATTTTTTGTTTTAAAAAAAAAAAAAAAATTGTTTAGAGAAAAACTATTTGAATAATTAGCTTACAAGAGTAGTTGTCTCTTTCATTCTCAGAGAATATATAATCTCTAAAGATAATAAAGATTTTCTAGTTTATTTCAACAAAGTGGAAAATAACAGAAAATATGTGTGTGCCTGTGTGTGTGTGTGTGTATATATATATATATATGTTTTGAAGATGATGGAATAGAAATACACTGACAAGAATCTCAGCAGCAATGCGAGAAATGTGCAAGTATCTGAAAGCGAAGGTGAGAAGGCGGTTGAGGGAGAGGATGGCTAAAAGCTGCATGACAAAGGCGGGAAGAGCTAAAGTGGAGGCATTCTCTGCCCTCCAAATGCCCGTCATATACGTCATTACTTTCCTAAAACATAACGTTATGTAATTCAAATCTTGTCCTTCCAAACATGGCTGGAAGTTAAACAGATCCAGGATCGGACCTGTTTCGTTACAGAGCATAAACGCCGGCATTTTTCTCCTCCCAAGAGCTCCTCCTACTTTTCCAACTTGGCCTCCGCCGGAGAAGAGAAAAGTGGGGGGAAAAGAAAGAGCAAGGATTGGCCGATTTCTTTTTTCTTGGTTTTATTTTGACTTAAAAGAGATGGGTTTTAGAGAAATGTACGATGGAGCGCTGATGCAGGTTGTGGTTTTTTTCTCCTTTTCTCTTAGTTGGCTTATTTAGATCTTTTTTGTTGTTTTTGTTTTTTTGTTTTTTTGTTTTTTGTTTTTCTGGTTTATTTTATTTTTATTTTTCTGGGTGTGGTCAGTGGGTCTATGAGTTCGATTCTTGTTGTTATAACAGTAATTTTATGGTCAATGACCGCGCACTACAACAACGGTCACCATTAATAGCACTAAAGCACAGCGTTTTTGAAAAAAAGTTGGTACACAGTTATCTCGTTCATTTCACCGATTGAAGTTTTTAATTTTAAATTTTAAATTTTTATAATAAAAAACTCTTAAAAAATATCACATTAATTTTTTTTATTACAGTAAAAAACTGTTAAAAAAATATCACATCTCAACTAAAATTAAAAACTCAAATTTAAAAAACAAGAAAAATGCTCATGCGAAAAGCTCAGAGTTTTCGTTCCCTTTCTCTCCTCATTAGTTTTCGCTCTCTCTCTCTCTCTCTCTCTCTCTCCTGTCACAGACTCTCTGTAAAAAGCTCGGAGAGAGTCGGTTCGCCGCTTATGGCCGCGTCGATGTCACGCTCCGACTGATCAATGCCTCTAAGAGACTCCTTCTCCGAGAGAATGGAGGGCACCGGTAGCTGGGACGCCCTCGAATGGACCAAGATTGAGGTTTTTCTTTTCTTTTTCTTTTTCCCTTCTCTCTATCTTCTAGGGTTTCCTAATCAGTGATCTTCGCTGTGACTGAGAGTTGAGATAGGAAGAAAAAATTTTCATTTTCTGTTTTTGTTTTTGTTGCAGCCGGTTTCGCGGTCAATTTCGTATACGAATTTGGAGTTCTTGATTGAGGCAGAGCAAGTCATAGTGGAGGTACTTAGAGAATTCAGCTTGCTTGTTTTTTTCTTTTTCTCCCGATTCCTCAAACGCGATTCCTGTTACATTTGTTCACGGATTTGTGAAATCTTAAGGTTCTCTTGTGATGTGGGTGGACGGAGAGATCTTCTATCTTAGAGTTCACTGTGCCCTCAATCTGTCCAAATTTGTGGACGTTTTTGGTGGGTTTTTTTTTGCCCAATTTCCCCTTGATGAATTTTTTCTTCTTTTCTCGCTCGATTCGTCGATTTCCTCCAGTTTTTGTGGGCTTACCACTTAGATTTCGATCAGTCGGCGAAAATTAGTTGATTTTTTGCTCTTTTTTTTTGAGTTCTTCGTCATGAGATTTGACTGATTTGGAGGGCATTTGTGCGAAAGATTTCTGGGTTCTGTCTTGTCAAGTTGTTGTAAGCACTGTTTTGATCTGATTTCTTCGTCTGGGCAGTGAAAATTTGTGATTTTGCAAGGATTCTTTGTTGGGGAAATTGATGTTGTAATCTAGTTGGGTGTCATGGTTTTTCCAATTATAGTTCTTCTTTGAGGACGTTGAGGGCTTCCCACAACTAAAGGAAGTTTTTTGCTATCTGGCCATTGGGAAAAAGGAAAAAAAAATTAAATTAAATGTTTCATTCTCTGAGTTCTTCGAAACAAACTTGTAGCCTTCTTGTAGTCACTTGTGGGAAAGTCTCTAAATCCAAACGCAAAAAGGATGTGTTCGAGAATCAGCCGCTGTATCCCTTCCCGGAGTTGGTCTCTTCAGGCCGTTTGGAGGTGAAAATTTCAGTTTCTTATGATTCTTTTTATTGCATTTGAATATATATATATATATATATATATATATATATATAATATTGTGATATATAGTTGTTCTTAGATTAGAAGGTTAATGAAAATCTTGTATTCACATCAGTTTGTTTGGGATATTGCATTAAGTTAGTTGCTGCTTATAATGCAGGTTCAAACTCTGACCAGCCCAAGCAAAGAGGAGTTCTCTAAACTCCTTGAATCATATAAGCCAAATCTTGTATACTTACAAGGAGAACAACTTGGGAATGATGAGGTTGGGCCTCTGGTTTGGGGAGATGTCGACCTGTCGACCCTTTGAATCGGTGTCCGAGCTCTTTGGCACTACATTGCCTACCACGGTGTGTAAATATCTCTTTTGTGCTTGTAAAGTTCATTTTGCATTGATGTATACATTGCCTGTTCTCTTTTGCAAATGATGATTCTCTGCACTTTTTGTTATCTTTATTTTCGGAATGCCTATTTCTACAAATCCACTTTGGTCTTCAAGACAAGGCTTCGGGTTTGTCTTTAAATAATTCTTGTTTGTCTTGGTAAATCTATATCTATGATGTTTAATGAAATGATGCTTATAGTTTGCCTAATGTTTATCATCCTAACCAGCGTTTGTCTATCTTGGTTGTGAGATGTTGATCTATATGTGCTTATGGATTTGACGTTCTTACCTTTCACTAGTTGCCTAAAAACTCTCTCCTTTCTCGCTAACTTGAACAATGTCTTCAGTACTTTGGGATGAAGGCTCTCCAAAGTCTAAGCTAGATAGGAAAGTTGTGAGTTGCTTAGAAAATGGGTCTTCTACAGCCATGCCACTCTCCTCCATTGGCCTCCGCGAAGATAGGGCCATCAACATTTATTATACCTCCAACACGCCTGGTTGGTTATCCTTTATTCATGCTCTTGGAGCTATTTGAATCATCAGAGCTGTCTGAAGCATCAATTCTCTTCAGAGTTGGAGCATTTTTTGACGATGGATCAATTTGTTAGGGCACTTTGTTTAGCTAGATATTTTGGAACGTCTTGATACTCTACTAACTAATTTGTTGGTTTTTAGATTTATGATACCTGTGTTGTGGAACTATTGGTATGATGATTTATATTATGTACAAGTTGCCAACTTGAAAATAGTGATAGAGTCGACGATATATAAATTGTATTGAATGTTTTATTTTGGATGTTTCATTTATCCGGTGTTGTTAAATTTGATATTACATGTTGTATCACCAAAACGAAACAATTACAAATTATAATATATATATATATATAGTTTACTATAGCGTCTGAAGTAACGATTATAAAATGCTATGAAATTGATAATCTTTAATAGCGCCCGCTGACTTAGCATTTTTTTACAGTTGTAAAAAGGGATACTTGTTGCAGTGACGGGTTTTCAACTTATGGTAGTTTTATTGTCTGTTTCTGAAACAATTATTGTTTACAATTTTGATTTTCCTTTGGGATATAATCAAGTATAATTATTTTGTTTTGTCTGTTACCTGTTTAGATAATTTTTCCCGTTTTAATTTCCAGTTGTTTGAATAATGATTAACTAAATGCCTTTTTTTTTTTCAGTCCAGATTTGTTTTTGAAGGAATTGATTAAGACCCTCTAGATGCAGCTCCGTGATCTAACCAACTATGATATATATATATATATATATATATATATATATGCAAGACATGTAACTTTGATCTTTTGATCTTTATGAGAAAATGCTGCAATTATGTAAACAAATTAGCAAGTGGGTTCATCAATGCGGACGATAGCATTTTACTTCATATATTTTCCGCCCTAATCATCGGTACTAACTAGTCGTTTACTCGTTTATATGTATACTTTGGGCATCATTAATGTTCCTAATTAGCCGTTGTAATTGATTACTTTCCCAATTTGCAAGACTTTCTTTCTTGTGTCAACGATTTTACAATCTACTCAAAAAAAGAAACAAAATCAACTGCCTAAGAAATTAACAATTAATTCTCGCTCAAGGATTAAACACCTAAACGCCTATATACATGCCTTGGAAAGCAAGCAAAGGACTCGTACTCACAACCGCAGGAATTTCACAAATTCTCTCCTCTTATTCTCTCATTGAAGATTACTTATTTTCTCCAACGACATGGACAATTCTCGGAAGGTTTTCGAAAGAAGAAGATCTACTCTGAAGAAGAAAGAGGTTGAGCTCGCCGCTCTGTGCAATGTCGATGTTCGAATGGTTTGTTTCGGACCCAACGGCGACCTCCAAGTGTGGCCACAGAACACAGCAAAGGCACATTCCATTATCAGCAAATACAAAGAGGCATTCAAGAAAGGAAACAAGTGTAAGAGGAAAGAGAAGCTCCATTTCTCTGATGTCTTGGAGACCAAGATAAAGAAGCTTGAAAAAACAGGTTCATGAGGATGAAACTAATTCTACTTGGAAAAATCCAGATAATGGAATTGGAGGATTCGCACTCACGCGGTATGAAGAACTGGACACAGTATTGAAAAATTCGTTGACGGGTTTATCAGATTGCTTGGAGACCAAGAATCAGGTTTTGGAACATGTGATTCAAAGAAAAACAAACAGTTCTGCCCTCAATAGTCCAAAACCAGTTTGAAGATTACTATGTGCCATTTGCCACACCAGGATGTGCCATTCCATTTGTATGAGACAATAATCCAATCTATTGGTCACCAGTATATTACTGAGTCTATTTTGTATTTTTCTTTTTTTACTAATTTGGTTTTTGTATTTTTTTCAAGCCATTGTTACAAGAATTTCTGTCAACGGCCAAATCCTTTGATTTTCCATGTAGATATTGATGCAAAGGTACTAAAATACCAAGTTGATCAATATCTTTTTTTTTTTCCTAGTGATTTTGTGATCTTTATGGAATCAATTTTTGTCCTGTTATATTGTTTTCTCATAAGAAAAGAAATTCACATTTTTTTTTTCTAGTTTGGCTTATTGCAGCACAATATGCAGGGCACCATAGTGGAGTTTGTTCTGCAACAGTCAGATGGACCAAGTATTAAGCCAACACTCTGTAATGTATATTCTTTTTTATTTGTCACTTCAAAAGATAATTTTTGTGATGATTTTGGATAATATTACATCTGTGTTTGGTAATTATCCTTTTACATTTACGTGGTTCTCTAAACTATTGAGAAAACTACTACAAGTATGCTTATCTGTGAGGCAAATACAAATGCGCTTTTTCATCCAACCAAAAGCGCCTTCAAAACAGCTTCACACATATTGTTCTCAAAGATTAACAAATGCCCAGCATCAGGAACCTCATGATATTGAATCCACGGTAACTTCTCCGCAATATAACGGTGTAGTTTTACAGGAATGATCTTATCTTCATACCCTTGCCAAATGTGAACGGAGCCCTCATTGTTAGGGAACAGATTGCCCACGCCAAGCGGATCGAACTCCCACTTTCCAAAGCCGGCAATCAAGTCTCGGTGGAGAGACTCATGAGCGCCTTGCTGCTGAATCTTATCCTGAATTAAGAAACACAGTAAATAAAAACTAGTTGCAAAAGAATAAATGAATACTGTAGCGATGGAACTTGAGTTGCGAAAAGAAGAATGCCTTATTAACCAGCCTTTTTATACTTGATGAGCAATACAATTGCAGTGATGAATTCTAACTCCAGAAAGAGCAGATTTTCATAAAAGTTTCCAAATTGCTGTCGCGTGAAAATAAACCGACACTAGATTATGTGAATCTCACCATATTTTCTTTTCCAAGTTTTGATGCCTAGTGAAATAATCTTTCCTTCATTATTCAACAACCAAAAGATAAATCTCAAATGCTTGAGAAGCATAACAACCTGGCCATCACTTGGGGCCTCTGATAACCTCTTCAATATTTCCAAATCTTTGTGGGTGAAAATTGATGTATCACCAGAGAGTATACTTAATGAAGGGAACCATTTCTGAGTCATCCACCAATAGAGTAGCCAAGGGGCATAATGCGCAACCCGAAACGTCCACTGATCTGACGGTGCTAACCTTGCCAGAGATTCTCGGGCTAGATTATAAGGAAAACAAGGCCACCAGTAGTTCACAAAAGAAACTACCAGGGCAGCTCCTGATAATCTGCACAGTAACATATGATATGCAATGATTTAGTACATAAAAAAAAAATGCTCATACGAAAATTCAACACCGCAAGAAGAAAGAAAGATGATGAAACACCATATTAAAATGGAGTTAGCTAGCCAAAATACCTGTGTGGTATGTATTTAAGGCAACTCCAAACAGGATAACCTCCCATGGAGATTCCAATAATGTAAAATTTAGAGCCAAGCTCCAACTTGTCAGCTAGCTCTTGAATATCAAATGCTTCGCTCTTGACCGAGCGCGATGGATAGGGATCGCTCTCTCCGTAACCAGCTCTGTCGAAAAACAGGAAGTACACCTTTAGCTCCACAGTAAGTTCCTGACAATCAAAATACTAATGAATTTAGGCACTTTTACTATCTAGCGAACAGAAAGCACAAAAAGCATTGTTCCTCCGGTAAAGTGTGGATGATGCACATTACTAAATTATAAATAGAAGGTGAATTTGGAAGGTTGATTCACATTGGTAATATTACTTTAGCTTTGAATTTCAACCACTTTAATCTCTCTCTATCTTTCTCTCACTAAGACCGCTTTCTTTTCGCTAGTTCGAGTTTTCAATTCGAGTTGAAAAGTGAATTTATGTGAGAGAAAACACTATAGCATAAAATGTTGAATTTGAATTTTTGTGAGAGAAAACACTGTACCAAAAACTTGAGTTAAGATTGGAACCACGAAAATGAACGGGGCCAAAGTTAACCACGAAATGAACGGGGCATAAGTTTTCTCATTATTCCTGCTTTTCAAGAATTCTAGTTCAATTATAAGAGAGAGAGAGAGAGAGAGATGGAGTTCATACTTCAGGGATGGGCAAAGTCACATCCTTGGAGCTGCCAAAACCATGAATCACAATGATTTTGTGTTCAGCCACTTCCTTTGGAACTCCAAACTCTCTGTAGGCCAAGTGCCTCCCATCACTGAGTTTCACCCTAGGTGAAGAAATAGTGGGGCCATGTGGTGTTCCGCATATTTTTGGCGGCGGAGGCCTCAATGCGTGATAAGCCCACCCCAAAAGACCCACTGTTATGGCCACTGCTATTGGTGCAATCATGGCTGTACAGAGATATACATAGCATTCATAATATCATAAGCCCAAGTAAGAATAGAGAAGAAGGGTAATGAACTTCTTTTCCCTATAGCTATCTCTAACCATAAAATTTATGCATTGTCAAGTTTGTGGTCATGTGACAAGTTAACACCAAAAGTTATATATGTATACATAGAATTACTACTTTCCAAAATCACTATGCTCCACATCTTGTACAAACAACTTGCAATTCTCAATTTCTCTTCTAAATGTCAATATTAATCGTTCGATACAGAGCTCAGAGTAGCAACCACACTAAAACATAAATTAATATTTTGATGCACTTTTAGAAGAAAGATCAAAGAAATTATGCAGCTAAGCAGCTATACACATGAACCGTGGACCGTAATATCCTTGTATGTTTTGCAACAATTTTCTATTATCATGCGAAATTCTATGAATAAAGGACTGCCTACATTTGATTGATAAAAATATATCTTCAGGAGAAAGAATTATCCAATTCGATATTGATAAAATAAGCAGACACTGCACTCACATACATGTTATCAGTCACAATGACACCCAAGTTAAGTAGATTTTTGACTATAGAAACACAAGGAAACATTCTCTGTTTCAAAACCGGGTAATTCTAACAACAATCATGAATTTGATTCAATTCATAGAAATATTAATTTGCTTCCACTAGCTTAAGCCAAATCACCGGAAACAAGCTTGTCAAGTTTGAAAGACAAGAGAATCTGGACAAAGAAAGTCAAGCACCATCTTAAGATACCAATTTCCTAGAAAACATTGAGCTGGAAGAAAACGATCCTAAGAAAAAGCTAAATGATTTTGAAAAAGCATAACAAAGAAAGAGAAAAATAAAAGGAGAAAAAAAAATTCAACATATTTAATAACTAGCGGAAACACAAAAGACATGATCTTTCAGATCAAGGATTTCCTTGGTCGTGACTTAAATATGAAATTAATTAGGAACCAAAAGCATATTGTTACTTACAATAAAAAAAAAGTGCAAAAGCATCATGATGAAACAAATTAAAGAAACCCCACATAAAGAATGAGCAGATTTTGAGGAAAACAAGAAAGAAGCAGCAAAGAATCACCCGAACAAAGTGAAAGGGGAAGTGGGTATGGCTTTGTTATCTGTATTGTTTTCTGGTGTGAGCTTGAGCTTGAGCGGCTGAGTCTTTGTTCTTCCGCAGCTTGCTCTTTCACTTGTCATTCTACACTCTTTAAAGCGAGTCATGAGTGTTGTCAAACTGAAAAAGACTCTTTGTGGAATTTGAGCCATAGAGTCACTTGTGCATAGTTGTTTAATGACATGACATTTTTTGGGCACGGAATTTGTGAGAAATAAAAAGAAAAAGACGTGCGAAACATGCAACATCAAGCACTTGTATATCATAGTGACATAGTTGTTGAATTTAGGAAGGCCAGAGGCAGGTGGCCAGTAATTTAAATACGTCATGAACTCTCTAAAATGGATTATTTCATTTTTTTTTTTCTCATAACTTCTATTAATTTTATGTACTTTCTCGTGTTCAATGGAGAACTAGGACAAATTTATAACTTAACTACCATTAATTTAACATATTCCATCTAAATTTTAACGAAATTTTAACTGAAGGGCTAAATTTTAAACACTTGAAAAGTTAAAGGTTTAAGATAGAATAATCTTCACTGCAAAGACTAATTCTAAAAAAAGAACAAAGTTAAAAAACAACAACAACATTTGTCATCATCATCATTATGATCATCATTATGATCATCATTATTATCATTATTATTGTTATTATTATTGTTATTATGATTATTATTATAATTATTATCATCATTATCATCATCATTTTTATTATTATTATTATCATTATTATTATTATTATTATTACTATTATTATTATTATTATTTTCCTAGGCTTAAAACTCACTTTTAGTTCTTGCGTGCTCAAGCTTCACAACTTCCATGAAAACTACTTTTGTTTATTATTTTCAGAAATAGTAGAAAATATGCCAATATGAAAAGTTTAAGAAAATATATAGACCAATTTTTAGTTATAGAAATTAATAGGCCATAACTTGTCAAGTTGTGATTCATAACCAGATAAGTTATGGACAAACTTGTCAAGTTATGGTTCATAGTCAGACAAGTTATGGACAAAAACCGTGAATTATGGACAATAACTTGTCAAGTTATGGTTCATACAAGTTATGGACAAAAATAATAATTTAGCCTATTTATTAACTTATGTAAATTATTGGCCTATTAATTTTAATTTATCTCAAATCTTAACCTATTTCCCTCTTTCTCCCTATTATTTTTTCCTTTTGTGCAAAATTAATTGGGATAAAATCATTTAATACATGTCTAAGACTTCTTGGTCTAGTGGCATTAGGAGTGTGGGTGAGAGATTGCGAGTTCAATCACGTATTATATTATAATAAAATCTCTCAGATAAGAGGTATTTCTATTTGTGTTAAAAAAATTTTAAGAGGTCATTTTTTAGGACATAGAATGTCTAAATTACCCTTCTAGTTAATTAATTAGAAATTAAAAATAAAAATGTTTTGTAAAACTTAATTGTAAACAAAATTTTCAGTTCTAATTAAATAATTAGAAGGATAATTTTGATATTTTATGTCTTAAAAAAATGATATCTGTAGGTACTTATATTTTTATATATATATATATATATTTGAAAAGGCCTAGAAGATACTTTCAAAACTATGAGATAAAATGCAAATGAACATAAACTGCAATTTCAGATATAATTCTTATATGCCAGTATTTCAAATTTTGGAAAAAAACATTATTTAAATCTGCTCATTGGTAGTAGGGATGATATGATATTTTTGTGGCACAGAATTTGCGAGAAAAAGGCAAAAGACGTGCGAAACATGCAACATCAAGCACCAAAAAAAATGGGCCCTCGTTTTTTACTCTCGAGTTTGACACGTTTATGATTGTCTCTCGATTGGGTTTTCTTCATATAAGCTTTTGATTTGATTTTCAGCAAAAGAAGAGGAATCGCCAACGGAAAATGAAGAGCAACTGAGCGAGTTCGAACAGACGGTGCAAGAAAAAAAGTGAGCTGAGTCGTGTGTCCCGCAAGAAAGATATTTTCTTTTTGTGTGAAAATCTTCAAGACAATAACAACCTTTTTCTTTTGATGTATATATGCTTGAATTTATACTTTTAATCTTATAATAAACTAAAATTTCTTGCTCATTTATTACATAAAACTCAGCATTTATGTCTATAAACAACTAAGGGGCCTAATATTTCAGGAAAAAGAAAAGGCTGGGACGGTATAGTTTTTTAATTAGGGATGGTAATTGGGCGGGGTGGGGGAGGATGATGATTTCTTATCTCCATCCCCACTATTTTAAACTATTCTCATTCTTGTCCCCATTCCTGCTTAAGGAGGCATTGGGTCGGAGCCGAGAATTTCCTATTAAATGAGCATTTTTCATACTCGTCTCATTTTTTATCATATAGGATTATGCATTTTAAAATTATAGCAACTTAAAATAAAAATAGATTAAAAATTCATTATAAATTTAGACTAAAATAAAAAATTCCATGATAAAAATTAAATTTTAACATGTTGCAAACTGAATACAAAAATAATAACTAACGTATAAACGAAAAAAGTTTAAAAACATTAAAATATAAACGTAAATTATCTTTTCTTATTTATTCTTAATAGCTTCAATTTTTACTGCAAGGTTGCACATTAATTTAAAGGCAGAGGTAGGGTGAGGAGTACTTTCCTGTCCCCACCCCGTCATAAATCAGAGACTAGATTGTATCACATTCATATTTTCATCCCTATAATTAAGGAAAGTCATTCGTACCGCACTATTTCAATCAAGCCGGTAGATTCTGGTAAGTATTATATCTAATTTGGCGCATCTGTCATTTGCACCTCTCTATATGTATGCGCTTTCGCGTTTTTTGCTTTAATATGAGAAGACGCCCTTACATCGAGAATGTGCATCCCGTTAGGGATGATGCAGCTTCTCGGTTGGGCGAAGTGTTCTGTAGCAGAGTCGCCGCCACACCTGCCGGGGCGGGTAAGCTACGACTGGTCATCAAAGGTAACTATGTGAAGCGGAGGCTGTTGAAGCCTTATCACGACTGGGCGATGTCAGTTTTGCGTCGCTTAGATGGTGATGGTACTTACAATCAAACAAAACCCCTAGAGCGGTTGGTCGGCTTTCAAAATGTTTATAGTTTTGATATGAAATCCGCCACTGATAGATGGCCACGTGTGTCCCCCAACCAGGCGGGGCCCATCGCGGGGCCCATCCTCGTGAAAAATATTGCCATCCCTACTTTTAATAGTGTTAAGAAAACATTAAGCTTCTTTCAGAAAGCATCATGTAAAAGTAATTCTACGATAGTTCATTTCCAAAAATGTACAAAAATGTACATTTTCTAGTTTACAATTCTCAATTAGCATATCGAGACTGAATAAAATATACAGATAAGGCACCCATCTAATTTATGGTAGCCGGATATCGATATTTACACAAGGAATTCACCTCCTAATGCTCTTTCCTCCTGTAATCCAAACTAATCCATCAATCTTGGAGATACTTTCCTTTATTGGATTAGCTTGTGAACCAATAATACAAAAACATATGAAGGGGATTGTCACAATGAGCTCACAAAAACTAGTATCACCAATAATCTTTGCAGGAGCAAAAGCCATTCTCAAAGTGATGGAAACGGTTTTGATCTCTTATAACAATTCGACGATTGTAAACCCTCGAAACAAGCTTCATAAAGGAATGACAATCGCGACAAACACGCAAGTTCTTCACTATATGGATAGGAGCACCATGGCTTGTGTTTGTAAGTCCAAATGCAAGTGCCATCTTTTCACTATGAACACTAAGCAAGCTCTCTTTTCCTTCCACTTCCACATCTAAGAGAACTTGAGTCAGGTCGGGCTGGTAACCTTCCAATTTTAGCCTAGAAACCACATCATCAAGTTTTGAAAGAACCTCACGAGTGAATTTTTCATCTATTGCCTTCCCCACAACAAAAACATGGACCTTCCCTCTAACAAGGATTGAACTACATCCAGGAATCTTTCCGACTCTTCTCTGTTTCATCCTCGATCTAACCTTGGCCACATCATCCCATCTCCCCGTTTTAGCATATATATTCGAGAGTAGAACATAACAACTCGAATCTTCCGGGGCCAACTCTATTGCCTGGAGAGCGGCGTTTTCCCCAATCACGACGTTCTCATGCTTCATGCTGGCGCTTAGAATAGCCTTCCAAGCTAAAACATCTGGCTCGAAGGGCATATTCCGTAGAACTCCAAGTGCATCCTCCAGATATCCTGCTCTACTCAAGAGATCAATAATGCATCCGTAGTGTTGCACTTTTGGAACAATGTTGTACTTCTCCTGCATGATTTTAAAACAATACCGGCCTTCATCAACTAGACCTCCATGACTACAAGCACCCAAAAGTCCTAAGAAAGTGATCTCATCAGGCTCAATCTTCAATCCTTCCATGTCATGGAACAGTTCGAGAGCTTCAGTGCCAAGGCCATGGATTGCAAGGCCAGAGATCATAGAATTCCAATCTCCAACGTTTCTATTATGTGATATGCTTCTAAACACGTGGTAAGCATTTTCTATATGCCCACATTTAGCATACATGTCTATAAGAGCAGATCCAATAAACCCAGTTTTCATTTCAAGCTTTTTAGTCGATATGTAAGCATGTATCCATTTGCCTTCCTCGACAAAACCCAAGTCGGCAATGGCTGAAAGGACGCTAACTAGAGCAGGAGCATCAGGCCGAACTCCCAGACACAACATTTCCCCGAACATATCCAACGCTTTCTTCGGATAATGATTACGTACATACGCAGAAATCATCGACGTCCATGTCTTCACATCTTTATGATCCGCCATTCCAAAGATTTCTTCAGCAAGTTCACACTTTCCGAACTTCCCATACCCATCAATCATCGCATTATACGAAACCAAGTCCCTTTCCGGCATCTCATCGAAAAGCTCACGAGCCAACTCAATCTCTCCCGCCCTCAAATAACCCGTAATCAATGAATTCCAAGAAATCACATCTCGCTCAGGCATTTTGTCGAACGCCCGTCTTGCAAACCCAACCTGTCCAAATTCCAAGTACATTCTAACAACCGAATTCGCAACAAACGGGTCAAATAGCAGACGGGTTTTGCATATCTGCCCATGAACTTGCTGTCCCTCCTCAAATGCTTCTAATCTTCCACACGCTTTGAGCACTGAAGGAAGAGAAAATTCAATGCCTTTCCAATCTTCCAAACAAGTGAGCATATGGGCATAAAGATAAACAGACTCCAATGGATTTGAACTCTCAGTAAAGCAATTTATGAGCGTGAAATAGATAAAGGGATTCGGGTTTTGGATTCGATGGAATACAGAAAGAGCGTGGTCTAAGTCACCAGTGAGACAACAAAAGGACACGAGTTTGCTTGCAGCGAATGTGTTAGAGACGAGATTTGTTTTGATCATTTGGGCATGAATTTGGCGTAGTTCAGAAATGGTTTTGCATTTCTCTAAGATTGTAACAGCTTGAGTCACGAGCATTAATGAAGAAGAAGAAAAAGAAGCTTCCATGGAGATGAACTAACAAGAGTTCGTGTAGTGAGTAGTGAGTGGCTTCCACGCGGTCTTATCGGTCAAAGTCTAGTACACTTTGTCAACTTTTAACTCTTCCTTGGCCCAAGCCCAAGCTTTTCAAGAATACATGTTTTTTTTTTCTTTTTAAACAAAATTTCATTAATCAATAAAGCATAAAACTTACAGAGAATTCGATATAAAAAACTTAATACAATAAATTAAAATTGATATATCCGTTGGTGTCTTAATACAAAGATCTAAAGTTGGATGATAGATACAATTTAAAGTACTTTTCTAAGCTTGTTTAACTCTCCTTCCACGGTTGAATCTCCCAAAAATACTGTAGCAAAATCTCTATAAAAACCAGTCTCTAGAGTATGTTTGGTAGGAAAGAAAAGTAGAAGGAAAGAAGAAGGTGGAGGGATTTTGGGAGGGAAAATGAAAATATAGGTTGTTTGGTAGGAGAGAAAAGAGAAAGGAAGAGAAAATATGGTGAAAAATAATATATGTGGGCCCTACTATTTTTTTTTCCTTTCACAAGTGGGTAGAAAATGAGATGGAAAATGGAGACAACTTATTAAAGTGAGCAAAGTTACTAAACTACCATTTTCTCCATCAACATCCAAGTAAAAAATTTAAGGGTATAAAAGTAATTTATGAGTAAGATTTGTTTTTTCCTCCCAATTTAACTTCCAATACCAAACAAGTGAAGATAAGCTCATTTTTTTTCCATCTTCTCATACCAAACAACATAAAAAAAAATCAATTTTCTTTCCATCATTGCTATTTTTTATCACTTTTATATTTCATTTCTATCATATTTTCTTTCCTTCCTACCAAACATAGCAAAGCCAGCACATTAAGAATACAAGTTTTAGTGTTGAATTGTGATTGAAATTTTTATAACGTAGAGATGGGGAAGATGCCAAAAGCAAGAATGTAGTTTTTCCAGTGAGAAGGTAGTCCCCAGTCACTCGACTTAGAAAGAAGGTTCTACCGAGAAGGAATCACCCCTAGGCAAAAAGTGTACCCACAATAACTCGAGGAGGCACCCCTCCATTCACGTTTCATTCCCATATGCATAAAAAAAATCTATTTGAGAGATTGGAAAAGAGTATACATTAAAAGGTAGCATGCATATATTTAAAACATTTATTTATTTTATAAATTAATAAAAGTTCAGTTCTGGTGGCCGATTACTTTTATTTAGGGCTCGTTTAGTTCACTAATTTGAGTTTTTAATTCGAGTTAAGATGTGATTTTATATGTGAGCTTTTTATTGTAGTAAAAAAGTTATATATGACTGTTTTTGAGAGCTTTTTACTGTAGTAAAATTCGAATCAGTTAAATGAACAGTGCCTTAAAACTAAATACCCACTAAAGTTAGTTTTCTTAAATATGATGACATGCTGATTGGAGTAACTACCTATCAACTCTTATTTATTCGTCACGAATCATCAGCAAAAAGAAGAAATAAGAAAATTAGGGGCTAAAAACAAGTTTCAAAAATTTTCTCTCGACTCCCTCTCTCCCTCTCTCTAGCATATTTAAGGGGCTTTTGATATATGGTAATGGGTAGGATTCATATTATTAGAAAAGTGATACAAGGTAATATGATTTCTAAAAAATATGCATTAACATATTTGGTTCTATATAGACTTATAGGAAAATTACAGTAAATAGGCCTACTTTTAAAATTTACAAAGTGAATAGCTTATTTACCCAAGATTAGAAATAAATAAGCCTTTTTCCACTTTTAATATTTTGTTTGCCAATTTTGCCCTTAGGTATAGGATTTTTTTTAATTTTTTTATAAAATTATTTTTCTTTTCTCCCTCCACTACACGCTCTCTTTCTCTCTCTCTCTACTCTCCCTCTTCGACTCCTCTTCTATCTCTCTTTCTCTATTCATCTCCTTCATCTCTCATCTTTGACGAAGGACCTCACGGCGGCGCTGCCAGAGCAAACAAGTCACCAATGAAGGTAAAACTTCTGCCAAAGTTTGCAGGAAAGTTGGGTGAAGGATTAGGGCGAGAGATAGTCGGGTCCATTGCTTGGGATCTCCGGACAAGGATAGAACTTAGTCGCGATTGTGGTTGCTCCGTCGTACTATCGACGATGTTCGAGTCCTTTGCAGAGATACACAGAGATTGTCATTTCTGATCGATTTCATTCTCACAATCTTACCCTTACGGCGTCACAACAAATCGTTACCACTGCGGACGGTTCGGCCTCTTCACTAGCCTCACAACTCCTCGGGGTTTATGAAGGCGCTTTGGTGAAGAGAGAGAAAGGAGTGGCGCTTTGGTGAAGAGAGAGAGAGAGAGGGGAACTATATCTCAATACCGTGAGGTTGAAGAGAGAGAAAGAGGGAGGGATAGAGAGAGAACCTAATGAGAGATGTGAGGTATGGTTTCATTCCAAAATTTTTACACAAGGGTAATTTGGTATTTTTCAAATTAGAGTAAATCCAGATTTACACTTAATTAGCCTATTTACTAACTAATTAAAAACTTTGGCCTATTAATTTTTATTATCATTTTAATTAGGCCTATTTCCCTCTTTCCCCCCCAATATTTTCTTATATTTTCGAGAATATTGTTTTAATGTATTTAGTTGGTACAACTTAATGTAATGTATTTCGTTCTTAAAAATAATTAATTGAAAATAATTTAATACTAAAAATCTTATTAATTTAAGAAATAAATTTTTACGGTGCAGTTAAAAAAAATCTTAACAAAACTTAAAATTTAAATTAGAATGAAACAATCATGGAGTAAAAAAATTACAAAAATACAAAATCGCCTTCCTTCCTTCTCGCTCAGCCCCCCTCTTTC